GTATATTCTGAAACTTGACACAAAACTCCTTTGGCACAGGTACTCTGGATGGTGTGTAACTGATGGACACACCTGGCTGGTCTCAGATCCAGATATTTCTCCAATTCTTGGCCTTTCATGTAGTGAATATTCCTGTTGCCATTTAATTCTTAGCCAAACACACCCAGCTAATGGTGGGGAGGAACTGATGCTAGATGGAACAGTTGAATGTGGAAGGCAGCATGTGTATCTACCATAATCAGCCTGTCCTGAGGGTCTGTACTACTTATTTTATCACTATACCTGTCTACAGGAAATTCCATGACCCATATTCATAGTACTCCAGTCTGGTCTAGCACAAATGCATGTTCAGTTCCATAGAAGAACCTTCTCTTTCTGCCACCCATTTGTATTATAGGTGGCATCTGTCATAAGTGCACCCAAACTATAGGCTGAAAAATGAGTGGCCTGACCTTACGCAAAAAATATAAGCTGTAGTCAGGCTTTGGAACTGGAAAATACTAATCAAATGAGATTAACTCCACTAGATCCAGTGGTGGAAAGAGTAGCTGAGTGGACTAGAGCAAAGCTCTGAGGTAATGTTAAAACTATGAGGTGTCATGAAAACCTTAGGTTCTGAAGAGGCACAAACGAGTTTGTAGAAATTCAGAGTTATACAAAGGACTCCCTGAGGTGTGAGATACCCAATGTGGAATAAAGAATATGCAGGTCAGAAAGAAGAGAACAAAGCAGAAAGAGAGCACTAGGGTCACACATGGTCCCGCTACTACATTTTCAGAGCTGTCTCTGGACCTGCATAATCTTTTGGTTCAATTTCATGGTCATAAAGGTCTGGAACCACCACAGGGCCTGTTTTTCTTGCTCTGAGGTTCTTTCTTCAGGATCTATTCTTTCAACAACCATTCATTTTTCATTTTTTGTGGTAACTAGAAGATCCTAACAAGACTCTGTAGGGCTGGGCTTCTTCTTTTCTGACTCATTGGCTCTGGCCACTGGTAGAGCAGGTATCTCAGTATCTGGGTCACTGTTTCTCCACACTCACATAGCATTTTCATTTGCACAGCACAACTATATAGAGAGTCAACAGTCATATCCCCTTTGATACTGACACTGAAGGATACAGAAGGAAATATTTAAATTGGAGTTCCATAATTTAGGATTTGTGAACCCTAGTAAGACCCTGAATAGTCTTTATGAAGTCTACAAACCCTCAAAAACTACATGTAGTGAAAGTGTGCATGTTTGTGTGTGTGTGTGCCTGTGTGTACTTGCCCAGTAGGAAGTGGAGGGTACGTTCTCCTGAGGAGAAGGTCCATGATTGTAACCACTTTCCAGAGTGATCTGTAACTATGTCCTTCTCTGGTTAAATAGTACTAGTTTGTGAGGCAGGAGCTCAGACTACAGGATCAGAACTGTGACTGAAATCCAGCTCATCCAGTCACCAGCCGGCTAACCTTGCATATTTACTTGACCTCTCTACACCTTATATTATTATGTATGAAATGTGTCTAATACTAACCACACTTACACCTAGGAGTGCTATGAGGACTCAAGGAGATGCCCCACTTAATGTTCTTAACCATAGCATGTGGCATTATACTGAGTTCTTAGTGGTGGTAGATATTAGATTTATTGTAGTTAATGGATATAAATATAATCCGTTTTTGATATATATTTTCAAATTCTGGATGTTTATGTTTTACTACTGAAGATGATTTTTTAAAAAAGGGTTATGAGGTTAGAGGAAAGAACCACTAGCCAAATATAATTTTTTAAATGGAATTTTTATTTTCTAGTAAGGCACAGCAGAAAATACTATGAAATAGTACTCATATTTTATAAAGTTTATAAATATATAAAATATTAATTAGGTAAAAACTACTTTGTACTGATGAGCATAATTTATATGCTATCATAATCATTAATAAAAATTAGATGAATTTAAAAGGCAGCTGCTTATAGGTTGGTAAAATATTGAAATGACTGAAGTTTTCATTTAACTTAAAGAATTGCTACTACTTAACATGTACACATTCTATACCTATTGGTTAACCATGGAGAAATAGCTGAGAAACCAGATGTATTAACAAGGGTTTATATGAATGTTTCAATAGAGTTTCTCTTCTTTCATTACATTTCTTTTTTTCTTTTTGTTTTTGGTACCAGGGATCGAACTCAGGTCCTTGCACTTGTGAGGCAGGCGGCGGAACCACTGAGCTAAATCCCCAGCCCTTCATTACATTTCTTTAATCCTAGAAAAAGTTCATTTTAAGATACATTTTTGGGATTTCCAGGGAACTTGCAAAGGAAACTGTATGATTCACTGTAGGGCAAGCCTCTGGCTAGTTTAGGCTAAAAACAGATACATTTCAATACACCTTACTGGAACAAGTAGGATGGAATTTATGATGATATTCTCCATTCAAATAGGTGACAGATGGACACCCCCTTTTTCAGCTTACTTCAAGTAAATATTTTCCAAGGAATCAGATTTCCCTGGCACTTGCCTAGACCTTTAGAAATAGTAAACTGAGGGATGCAATCAGCTGTGGTCACCAAATTAGTTCTAACAGGTCACTTCTGATAAGGCTGACATGGTGGAGAAAATCTTCAAATTTCTGATGGGAGGCCTTTAACTTTAAATTTAACAGGTGGTTAGTAAGGTGAATGTGAATAATCATTACACAGGGAACAACACCAACAAAACAAAACCCAACCCAGCTCATGAATGCAAAAAATGTCCTGTTTCCAAAATAATGATGTTCAGCCTGACTTTTGGAAAAGGAAGAAACACAGTGCTGAACACCATTATTTACCAATGCAACACAGTGTTCTTATTCCACTGAGTGGGAAAAATAAAAGCAGAGTATTTTCTGGCCCGCCTCCAATCATTCAACCTCTGTTGACTGGATTCAGGATTTGCAGTTGCTACAAGCCTCAGAGGTTTTTGGCCAGACTCCAGGTCTGTGTACAGGGCAAAAGTCTTGCCATTTGCATATTGTGCAGGTAGCTGGAGTCATGACAATGCTGACAGGAGTCACGATGATGGTTTTAGTTGGGAGTTCTCTGACTTTTTGATGGATATTTGTACATATTATTTAATCCAAAGATTTTAAATATGCTCTAGTAGTGGGACTTTCGAGGGCTGTCATTTCTAGAGAATGTTCTTTGTGTTATTTGCCTCCATCTGTCCTTTGTCATGGTCAGACTTAGTTCCAGTGGCTGTCATTTTGCTTAGGTGCAAGGGTGCCACATAGCAACTCTCTGTTCAAACAGTTGACAACTGATTCTGATCATTGTCCTGATACTCTCAAGACAATCCCCACATAGGATACTGTATTAACATAGTGCTTGGGCCACAAGAGGAACTAGTTAGGTACTCAGTGAATGTTTAGCCTCTTCTTATTAGTAACACATGAGTGGCGTCATGCAAAGGCCATCCTACTTTTTTGTCCCCTACTTCTATCTTTGTCTCCTTTGGAGGGTGGATGGGAACAGGGAGAATTAAGGAATTTGGAAAATTCCAACCAGAAGGTTGTTGCTTTTTATTCAATAGAAGATATGATCATCAGCACAATTTCAAATAGGCTGCCAGTTTCAACTCTAACTTAAGGCATAAGAATGAAACACTTTAGCAAGTCAAATGGAAATTCCAGGACCTTTAAGTTGGGTTCCAGGTATAGATTATATTGAATTTAGAATGATTATAGCAATTGCTTCTATAAATTCACTCCAGGGAGAAAAGTGGAGAGGTCTCTTGTGTAGCTTTGGATTGTGTCTATTTAGCTAAATTAGAACTTCATTTCTCATAATCTCTTTTGTTGTATGGTTGCAGGGTATGTTTGGGCACAAGAGAGATTTGAACAAGATCTGGAAGGTTAAAGTGAAGCAGCAGCCATATTTTACCCTCCGAGGGTGGGCATGAAGCTCCAGGCACAATGATGGATCACACATGTTAATGTCAATTTGTTGGCTGACCTCATGGATCTTAGGTCTCTCAGGAACCAAGAGGTCCCTCTTTGATTTCCCTGAGTCTTGAGCCAGATGGAGATAGAACTCTGAGAAAGTGTGTTAGGTTTATCATGCAGGTCACTTGATTGTTGAAGATGAAGGTGATGGATGATATTACCAATTTTGTTTCATGGTTTCCAGTTTACTATCTTAGATTCTGTCTTGTTCCCATTCTCTTCTATTTCCTTCCTGACTGCTAGCTCAGTCCCACAGTAACTTGTGCCCAATACCAGTCATAGAAGCCATAGTCTCACATGAACTTTCTGGCTTCCATATTGGTATAAGGTCTACACCCATAATACATCTCTATTTTTCATTCCTGGGGGTTCTGCTTCTCTAATTGAGCCTTGGTTGATATACCTATTCTTATTCTAAATGAATACCAGAATCCTTTTCAAAACAGTGACTCTGGAGTTCAGATATACTGTTTGAGGACCACCAACCCTAGTGGAAGAAGGTATGAAAGTTCTTTTCTGTAATTTATCTGGTTTTTTAGTTGACCAGGTAAATTTGAACTTGTTTCATATAACTCAAGAATACTATACATAGGAGGGGATAGCTAAGGTTTACAGGAAAAAAAAATATACAATCCCTTACCATCAATGAACTTGATTGGAGAAGGCAAGCATGTACACACAAGAGCAGATATTAAAGGACTGGTTAAACTCTGAAGAGCTTAACAAAGGTGAAGAAGAGATAGGACAGAGTAAATAAAGGTAAACACAGTTACATGTATAATAATGTTTGCTGAATGAAAGCATGAGGGGTATTTTGACATTTTTAATAAAAAGCTAATATACCAAAAATAAACAAGAATATAAAATAATAATAATAATAATAATAATTATTATTATTATTATTAAAGCGGTACAGGGGATTGAACTTAGGACCTTGTGCTTGTGAGGCAGGCGTGGTGCCACTGAGCTAAATCCCCAGCCCTATAAAATTATTTTTAAATCTCCCACTTTCATAATGTCCCAATGTAACTATTTTAATTTTCAGGTATCATTCTTCATAGCCATATCAGTTTGTTATACAATTGGAATCACCGTGCAGCAACTTTTTGTATTTTCCTTGCTTTCCTCATTTATTTTTCTGCTTTGTTTTCATTGACCTGGACCTAAAGGGAGGCTTATGACTACTTTTAAGAAGATTGTAAACCTCCGTTAAAAGATATAATGTGTTTTCTACTTCAACCTCTGCTTAAGAGTGTTGGATTCTGAACGGTTTTGGAAATGGGACTGACAAACGATGGCTGCGGCTGTGCAGAGCCAAGGTGAGTGTAAGAAGCAAGAGCTGTTGCTAAGGGAACCACTAGAGAAATGTTTGCGGTATAAACTTTGCTATCACATTTAAATTTCTTGACACAGTTCTTGCTTACTGGCCTTGAAAATTTGAACAGCTCCAGTCAAAACAAAAAATGTCCCAGGGGTGATGGACATGGTCTGTCAGAGGGCATTATTAGGAAGCACAGCAAAGGAAGGAAGCTGCTCATGCCCACTAACCAAAAAGAGTGCTGAAGTGTGAGGTCTGTGAATTTGGGCAAGAATGAGCTTACTTTGTTTTTTTTTTTTTGGTACTGGGGATCGAACTTGGGACCTTGAGCTTGCAAGTCAGGCAGCAGAAACACTGAGCTAAATCCTCAGCTCTAGAATGAGTTTACTTTTGGTAAAGATCCCTGTGTAGCTGTTCAGGTCTCTACTTGGTGGAAGTATTTTATAAAGATTGGCTGGGTACAACCTATAATGTGTATTTTGAACACAAAAACACACTAAAATGAAACCTTACATTGACCTCCAGTGCATTCAGTTGCTACAAATAGAGCTGCTTTGGTTGAGTTCTGGATGAAGTGACAGAATTTTACATGCTTGGCCTTCACCTCACCCATATCCTCATCTCTATTTCATTAGCACTGGTATCCCTGGAGCCCATGAGGTTATCAGAAAACTAGCTTGAAAGATGTTGGTTTGGAACCACTTGAGTTCACACATAAGTCTTATGAGGAAATTTGAGGGTTTAATTTGTGAGTCAGATAGCTTGCATTTTTCAGTATTCATTAATCTCTTGGTAATAATAATGACTCTATAATAGCAAAATCTTTCGTGGCTCCTACAGTGTGCTCTAATTTAAGCACTTTATGTATAGCAACTCATTTGATCTTTCCAACAATCCCGTGTAGAATGTGCTACAATAATTCGTTGATTCCAAAACAAGTTTTTTTTTCCTCTCTCACATTTTAGCTTTCGTGAAAATGGAATGTATCTTACTTTTGATAGAGTGTCATAGTTTAATTGGCAGAATTCTACAACTTTTTCACGGAGTATAAAATAATATGTTTTACAATGGAAAACAGTTCCATGAAATGCAGTATCAGTATCCCCACTTTAAAAATGAAGAATTAAGGCACAGAAAAGTGAAGTAGCCTGCTCAGTATCACAAACCTCAGCAACCTGTCTCAGGACTCCATGTTCTTAGCAACCTTTTGCCCTACTGGTATTTGGTCTGGACTTCCACATCCCTCTGAGGGTCTACCCAAGGCCACCCTTGGGTGGAATTCTTCTTTCAGGCAGACACTCCTGGCAGGAGTAACACATTGAACATTTCTCATTCAGTCATTAACACTGCTGGAATTTTCTTGTTATATGGTTTTCTACCTGAAAGCCATTTCCAAAGCAGTCCTTTGGAGACAAGGCCCTGAGCAAGGGCTGGTAAAAGAAAAGCCTGAAAGCAGAGGTGTTCTAGAACTGATTCTGATGGGCTTGCAAGAGCTCTTGCCAGGCAACTGTTAATCATTCCACCAAGGAATTGACCATGGTGGAACCATTTACGTCATAGAAATGGACAAATGCTATGAATCAGGGCTTTTCTATTTGTTTGTTTTTCCTTTTCAGAGAGCTGGGTTAGGAACACATCACTAAACAGATGCTCAATTAATCAGATTGCAGTAAAAAGGCATCATTGGTCAAAAAACAGTAGTAGGAGGGAATCAGGAAGACTGAGCATGAGAAATGGAGCTGAAGCTGAAGTTTCTAGATAGTCTCAATGTCAAAAAAACTCTATTAGAGTTAAATTGTGTGCATGTTTTAATTCAATTTATGTTATCATGTTAAATGTCTATATAGATAAGAGGACGCTGATGCATATGCTACCTATGTGTGTGGAGCTGTAGAGAAACACAAATTACCCGAGGAAAGAGTACTGCCTGCTTTGTATGTTGCCTTCATTCCTGAGAGGAGAAGATAATGAGCTATTTGCCAAGAGCAGTGCATGGCCAAAGGGGCTTCTGAGATCATCCAAGAAGTATAGACCAGGAACAATAGCTATAAGGCCTTAGAAGGCAATGGTGGACATGTAGGAAGTGATCAATAAATGCTCTTTGTTGAATTGAGCAATTTCATGTCACAGTCACATCTCCTTTGTGTGAATTATTTAGTTACATTTCTCTTTTTCTCCTTGGTGATTCTCAGTAAACTCACAAAACACAAAAAGCAAGTGGGCTTATCACACAGAAGAGGAAGGAAGTGAGCTGCTGTATAGGCCCTGTCTCATTGTATTCAGCCTGGAGGGAAAACTCCAGGGGATGAGGTAGATTATACCAAGGTTAAAAGGGAACCCAAGCTGGCTCAGAGAGGTTTATCCGGCAAAGAGGAAGACCAGGGAAGCAGTTGGAGTTTGAGGGGAAGCTCTTGAGACCAAGAGAGGGAAGGGTGTGTGTGTGGGTTCCCAAAGAACTCTCTTTGATCCATTTGGGAACCACAGAAGGGCACTGGTGGGGAATGGAGGTGAGGGAACAAGGAAAGGGAAAAAGACTCCAAAGGCTGACCAGGTATGGGGAAAGGGATAATGGCTGCTTTGCAAATGCAAAGGGCCTGCACATTTCTTATTTCCAAATTGGGCTATTATAGGAACACATTTTTTTTTTTTTTCAGTTATCTTCTATTAAGAGCTACCAACAATTCTACCAAAGAAAGGTATTTTCATGGTATCTTTAGGTAATACTAAAGAAAGGTATCTTCATGGATTTTAGGATGGAAATTTTAGCAATCAGGCTCTTGGCTCAGCATATGAGTATATGAGCTTTGTTAGGGCCGTATGTGAAGGTTAGACAGTGACTTTAGGAGTAGCCTTTACTGATATCTGTTCTCACCCATAGAAAAGGCTGCTTGTAATTTATTAACAAATTTGGCACTCGTTAATAATTTGTGGAACTAGGAGATCAATCCTAGCTGATTGAAAATAATTATCAACCTCTCCAAATGATTAAACAGCATGTTTGGCTTTTCATTTATGTCATCATTTTGATTGAATGATGTGTATGTGTGCAGAGATTGTGTATTAACAAGATATCTCTTAAAAGTAATAATAAATGCTGATAAAAGAGTTACATATCACTCTATATCATAGGAAAAACAAGAAGTCAAAGGCAGATGAGCAAGAGAATAAAATTGGGACCCAACATAAATTATGAAAGACAGACTGTGACATAGATAAAGTTGTATGGGATGTAAGTGATAAACACATAGAAAAATACTTATGATGTTCCAAGCAGAGCATCAGAGGATTGAAAATTCTGGTCAGCATTGACAAACAAGCAGTGTAATTAATCTGGAACAGAAAGAATACCACAGATGTTTAAAATTATTTTTTCTACTGACTCAGTCTCCTGCATATTTACAAATTGAAGGTTGTAGATTAATGGCTCCTGAGATTCCAGCCCAATAGGCCCAACTCCAAGACTGTGTTTGCACTCAGTGATATCTTCTTGGATTCAAACTATTTTCCCTAATCAGAATATAAGAAAAATGAAAACCTAAACCTGCTTTGTCTCACATTGGTTTTCCCAAGTGTATTCTGTGAAGGATTCACTCAACAAGAATAAGAAATAAAAATTCCCACCAGAAACTAGCATCTCAGAAAAGTGGTACAGGCTGCTGTTCTTTGTTAATATCAGTTAGTTTGGTACAGCCTCATTCATAACCCAATAATGGTAACTTGCATCCACCTGGTTCATTTGAATTCTGGTTTTGCTGCATGTCCCCATCTGGATTAGCTCAACAAACTTTAAATGCTAGAGAGAAAAGATTATGCAAATGTGCAAGTTTGTAACACTCTGTGGACTTTTTATTCCACAACCTCAAGCAATAGGCAAATGTTTTCATGGAGAGGTAAACTAAGTCACTGAGCTGTTCTGCTAGGGGTTTAAAGTCTCCTAGCAGTTCAGATATAAAATAAACACTAGGATTTCAGCCAGAATTAAAACTTCTATAGGTTTGTGGGACCCTCTTTCAGGTTGGCTTTATCTCTGTGTCTCTGTCTCTTTCTCTTTAAACCTGAAGTGCTTGTTAAATATAAAATTTTCCTGGATGGTCAGTGAAAGGCAGAGTGACTCATGTGGCTCTGCAGGAGGGTTCCATCTCAGACCCGGCAGCCTTTCCTAACAAGGGGTGGAAGGAACTCCAGATGAACTTGGACCATGGGTAGTGCCAATCCTTGTGTGTTTTAGGTGGTTTAAAGAGAGCAGAAAACTGGTAGCCTCTGCCAGGCCTTTTTTAACCAATAAAGTTCATCCTTTCCTCCAGTTTGAACTGCCAAATCTCATGAGGGTCTACACACACATCTGCCATTCCACAAACACCACCAAAATCAGATATAATGGCAAATTGTGAGTTACTAGATAAGGCCTTGTATTCCTTTGCTATCAGTTTGATCCAGAACAAGATGGTCCATGGAGTGGGCTAGCAACATTGAATATGGTGTGAATAGATAGAAAGTGCACTATGGAGAAAATGCCCTCCCCTCTGAAAATTGTATATATGTAATTTAAATTGTAACTCAGAAATGCATTTTTGCCCACATTTACTTTTTTTTTTTTCAGTACTGGGGATCGAACTCGGGACCTTGTGCTTGCGAGGCAGGTGGTGCAACCACTGAGCTAAATCCCAGCCTGCCCACATTTACTTTTAAGATACAAAAGGTATTCTGACACACATATTCATACATGCACACACACATACATACATGTACACACACATGCAAAGTACTTAAAGAGATTGTGAGAAATCAACTGTCCAGTTATATATTTGGTTATTGCATGTAAACTAGCCCTACACCCCTCTAGTTCCCACTAATAATTCCCATCTCCTTTTATTCTTCCCCAAGTCACTAGGTTAAAAGAATATTAGTAATTATCTCTTACAAACCCACTTAGGTTATGTTTACGTAACAATGCGAAAATGTTTTGGGAAGGAATTAACTATTGCACTGGGGTGTAGGCATTAATTTCTTCATGTAAGAACCAGCCAGTTTTTCTTTACAGAATGTTCATCAAAGTGTTTATTTCAAACCTGTCGGCTCTGCCTATTTAAAGGGTGTTTTCCACATAAAAGCCCCCTGATTGGATAAGAACTAGCCTCACCCAGGGTGTCCTAGAACTGTCTTATCTTTTAACACATTTTCTAACTCCTGTTAGAAGAAGGAAAGCAAAACTAAATTGGAGCTAACAATATGGTTAGGAAGATAGGACATCGGTGTTGGACAGGGAACACATATTCCTGTGAAAATGAAGGAAATGCATAGGAGAGAATCTTTAGATTTCATAATGTTCAGAGTTGGAAGGACTAATCTAATCTTTCTTACTCTTAGATGTGGGAACTGAGAACCACACAGAGCAGTATCTTATCAAATTTTCTAAAGAACACTTGGTCTGTGGTCAAAGAGCTGACTTAAACATTCTAAGGCAGATTTTTCTAGATGTTCCAGAAAAAAACCTAATATTTTCTTTGAATCCCAAATTCAACCATTCTTATTGCCTGACAGCCTTTTCCTATATTTCTCTCAAATTTCTCATGCTGGCCTGTTCAGGACAGGTGTACTTTTTGGTACACTGCCTTAGGTAGGCAAATATTCCAAGAGAGGCCTTGGCTTAAGGGGACCATGCTTCCAGCTAGAGAAAAACTGCTGTAGCTTTGTGTTCAACATTTGCCCAGGACATAAAGTTAAGACCTCTTTAGCACCCAAGAGTCAGAATTCTAACCCGGACTATGCCCAGACTGAGGGACCAAGAGGTGTGCTGTTTTGTTTCGATAACTTTCTTTTGAATTTTAATTGTCTAGTCATTTAAAGTTAGCTGTTTTCCAACTTTCTGCCCCATGCCCATCTTTACCCTAATCCCTTAATACAATTTAAGTAAAGTATTGAGCCTCTCTTTTCCTTCATTATTTTCTCCCTGTACTTTTTTTGGATGTTGTCAGAAGTTTACTCTTTTTACCAAATGTGAATTTTGCTTATTTGGACATTTAAAGAATATTATCTTCCAGTTTCTAGGAAACTTGTTTCACTTTGTTTTCACTCACTAGACTTCTTGAAAGGGTCTGTACTTAGTGTCTTCACATCTCATTAATTCCTCAACCCATTACATTCTGGCTTCCACCAACACCACTCAATTAAAAATACGCTCTCCCCAGCATCCTCCCAATTGGCCCGCTCAATGGCCCCACTTTCCCTTGTCATCCTACTTGACATTTATGCAACATTTGACACGGTTGACCAGCTCCTCCTTATTGAAACTCTTTCCTTTCTCAGCCTCTTTTATTTCACCAGCTCCTGCCTCTCTAAGCTTTCTTCTCCGGCTTCCTTTGCTGGTTCCTCCTGCCCTTTGATGTTGTTTTTGTAGGGGATCTATTTATGGGCTGCTCACATTGCACACTCTTGCCCTACTCTAATTTCTTCAGTCACCCCATAGCATTGCTGAGGTTCCCTGGCTCATGAATTCTCAGCTGAACTCCAGGGCTAATTTCCTAGATTCTTAAGATCTCTCTCTCTCTCTCTCTCTCTCTCTCTCTCTCTCTCTCTCTCTCGCTCTCTTTCTCACTCTCTCTCCTATTATTATTACCATTAATTCTGATCATCATTATCAAATTCTCTATGTATTTCTACATGTTATTTGTTGTTGTTGTTATTGTGGACTGCATCCTGCCTTCACCAACTAGCTTGAAGCATGCTTGTTAATTATTCAAAAGCAGCTCTTCTGCCACACATTCTCTGTAACCCTTAGAAAGAGTTAGTTGTTATTTTGTTTCTACTTTTAAAGCATTTGGATAGAGATAATGAGTGAGATTATTGGAATTCTTAGGTGCCTGTGGCTGAACTAAGTCCTTCATATGGATTATCTCATTCACCCTGTATAGTAGCCTCCGGCTCAGGGGCTCTTATCATCTACTGATTTTGGAAGAAGAATCTAAGACTCCACGTAATAACTTGCTCAAGGTCCTTCAATAAAGTTTGAAACCGAGGCAGCCTGAGTCCAGAGTCCATAATCATATTATGCCATCTTCCCAAATAATAATAGCTAACTTTTACTGGTTGCTCACTTTGTAAGATTTATATATTTATTTGTATAGATTTTCTAT